ATTCCAAATAATGAGAAAATAGCATTCATCGGTCGCTGTAGGTTACCGAGGCAAAATGGCATTGTTGTATGTAACTTCAACATATGTTTCGCTTTTGTCATAGCCGGTTGGAAGGACAGTGCACATGACATTCGAATGTTCAAATTTATAACACGGAATAGGAAATACAACTTCCCGCATCCACCCACAGATTCACACAAAACTAAACCAATCACTTTTTTTACTATTACATTAATCATTTTATTTACATCAAATAAATATTGTAAATCCTTCATTTTCATTTCAAATTACAAATTTAACAAATCTAATTAATTCAGAGAAAGAACTTAACCAACTTATGGACTTCGTTGAGTAAAATAAGGCTCTAAAGAATCACAAAAAAAAATCATTCAAATTATGTTATTGATTGTTATTTTAATAGTTCTTTTTTTTAATTTTGATAGTCGTGTTACTCACTATTTTGTGAGATATTTATTTTTATTTTATAATATTCAAACTGGATATTTGTTTTATGCATGGGATGAGCTAGTATGAATAGTTCTGTTATAAACAATATTACAATACATGGGTAGAATGATCATTTGTCCTGAAACAGTTGCAGCAGAACTGCTTTTAAACTGTAAAAAACAAACAGATTGTCAACTTATCCGCAGCAACTTCTGCACAACAGCTTCCTGCCACAGCTATTGCATAGCAGCTTATTAATAAGCTGCAGCTACCCCAAATAGACCCTTAAAAGTGGGAATAGTGTTGTTTTTGATGTGGTGCTAAATTTTGAATGTTATGTGTGTGAATGTGAAAGTTTAAATGTGAGATACATAAGTACATAAGAATTGAGTATTATGTATGTAAATGCCCCTTGAATATAACATGTTCCTATGACTATGGCCAAACAATAGCTCAATTACTCATTTTGCAAGTTACAAGCTTACAACATTATATCCATCCGAAACAAGCCTTATTTCATGACAAGTATATTTAAGTTAGCACAACATACATCAATATTTAATACTGGGTTGATTAGCAAATAGGGTAAATTATACTTATTGATCTCAAAAATCCTTCATTTCCATTCGAATTACAAATTTAACAAATCTAATTAATTCGCAGAAAAAACTTAATCAACTTATGGACTTCGTTGACTCTAAAGAATCACAAAAAAAATCATTCAAATTATGTTATTGATTGTTATTTTAATAGTTCTTTTTTTTTAATTTTGATAGTCGTGTTACTCACTGTTTTGTGAGATATTTATTTTTATTTTGTAATATTCAAACTGGATATTTGCTTTTATGCATGGAATGAGCTAGTATGAATAGTTCTATTATAAACAATATTACAATACATATATTACAATACATGGGTAGAATGATCATTTGTCCTGAAACAGTTGCAGCAGAACTGCTTTTAAACTGTAAAAAACAAACAGATTGTCAACTTATCCGCAGCAACTTCTGCACAACAGCTTCCTGCCACAGCTATTGCATAGCAGCTTATTAATAAGCTACAGCTACCCCAAATAGACCCTTAAAAAGTGGGAATAGTGTTGTTTTTGATGTGGTGCTAAATTTTGAATGTTATGTGTGTGAATGTGAAAGTTTAAATGTGAGATACATAAGTACATAAGAATTGAGTATTATGTATGTAAATGCCCCTTGAATATAACATGTTCCTATGACTATGGCCAAACAATTGCTCAAGTACTCATTTTGCAAGTTACAAGCTTACAACATTATATCCATCCAAAACAAGCCATATTTCATGACAACTATACTTAACTTAGCACAATATACATCAACATTTAATATTGGGTTGATTAGCAAATAGGGTAAATTATACTTATTGATCTAAAAAATCCTTCATTTCCATTTCGAATTACAAATTTAACAAATCTAATTAATTCGGAGAAAAAACTTAATCAACTTATGGACTTCGTTGAGTAAAATAAGGCTCTAAAGAATCACAAAAAAAAATCATTCAAACCGCGGATATTAACAAAAAAAATAACAGTAAGAAAACTGCATACCTCAACTTTGGAAAACTCAGCCACCGCTCTCTTTGCCTGGCTGGGTTCCACATACCTCAAAAAAGCATAACCCTTATTCTTCCCCGTTTGCCCATCCATCATCATGCGGAGCTCCAAAATTTCCCCCACCTTTCCAAAAACACTCCTTATATCTTCCTCCTTCGCATCCCTATCCAAACCCCCAATAAAAATCTCTGCTTTCCGCTTCTTCATTCTCTCCGACAAGCCCATCATCGCCGGATCCTTTACCTCTGAAGCCTCCAATCTATCACCATCTTTCCCACTCTCAAAGTTGTCGTCTTTCTCCTCCATCAGTCCACATTCTTCCTTAATCTTCATAATAACCTCGGATTTACCTGACTCAAGCTTCTTATCTTCCTCCACCTTTGTCACTGGTTGAGAAGAACCATCCAGAGAAGAATTAAGGTTGAGGTTCTTCTCTGTGTTCTTCTCCAAATACGCTATGCCGTCTTGCAAAGGCGCGGCATCCACTTTCTTCGATGTTAAAGACCCCTTAGGAACCAACTTCTTCACAATTTTCTTCCTCACTACTTTCTTAACCTTCGCAATGTCGTCTTTGGCATCCACCTGCCGACATTCTTCCTTGATCCCCGCAATGTTCTCGACCTCGGGTACAGTTTTCACAGGCTCCGGTTGCTGCAAAGTATTAGGGTTAGAAGCTTCCTCCGCTGCAATCTGTTGCGTGCCACTATCCAAGACAGAATTAGGGTTAACGTCTTTCTCACAGCTCTCCAGCAACGACACAGCGCCGTCTTGCTGAGGAGACACGGCATCCAATTTCATGGCTGCCACAGAAACCTTCGGAACTAACTTCTTCACAATCTTCTTCTTAACTACCTTTCTCACCCGCAAGACCGTCTTAGTGGAAGACTTCTCTGCGGGGTCAGCAGAAGTCTTCACTTC